ATGGAGTTTACATTTATTCTTATCCCTTGAATACACAAATACTTACACTATTTAATCTAACCTATCCATGACATGAATAACTTCCGCCTTTATCAATTTTCGATATCATAAGTTAATTAAGGTATAAATATTTAGATCTCCTATTCAGACCGTAAATCTTCATTTATATGGTTGTTTGTCAAAATGAGGAATCAATTTTAGCAATAATTTATTTTTAACCTTAACTGGGAATTTATCCTAATGAACTAATATGTTCGACGTGTTCATATTTGCATGATCCTCTTCACTGATGAAAGTGAAGTCGAATAACCGGCTAACATACTCTATTGATGAGGTAAACTTTTATAGACCTAACTTGAGAAAATCAAACTCATTACATTTCTAACAAATAATATATATTCTCCAGGTTAAGATGTTAATAATATACATTCATATTCTATGCAGCTGGCTTTACAAAAAAACGCTACTGAGATTTAATAGAGTGATGTCAAGTACTAGGCAATCGTAGTAAAATAGAGTTTTGCGAAAACAAAATTCATTAAATTGTTGCGCTTACTTCCATTTCGAGTGAAAGTGTTGGGTGAAGAAATTCAAAGATCGGTTTCACCAGAAGACGACGGCGGATTTCTCTTGACGAGCTGTCGATTGGCTTTACTGTAGGATTCATGCTGAACCGGTTTCGATGTAATCTCCTTCGATTCTGGTATAAAGAGGCTAAGCTTCCGTCCGTCATACGACGAACATCATCAGAGCAAGGTATCATCGTCACAACCAAATTCAAGCTAACGAGTTTTCTTGACTTGTGACGATGATACCTTGCTATGATGATGTTCGTCATATGACGGACGAAAGCTTAGCACATGTTCACCGGAATCAAAGGAGATTACCTCGAAAACATCATCAGCATGAATCCTCCAGTAAAGCCTATCGGTGGCTCGTAAAGAGGAATCAACCGTCGTCTTTTGGTGGAACCGACCTTCGAATCTCTTCACCCAACACTTTCACTTGAAATGGAAGTAAGCTCAACAATTATGAAACAAGAGATTCTCCGAAACACAAATTCTCTTCGCATCTATTGCATACGTATGGTATGAATTCGTATCTACTTTCTTCTGGCTATACGAAAATCAAGAAAATTGATTAAAACCGTATTATTAATCAAAACTTTAATCGATATCACTCTTACTTACATAACACCATACACAAACGTATATGCTCATTGCGGGGCATCGGCATAAACTAACTTAATCATTCCACACATCCGGAATTGATTTTTCTCTTCAAACATATCCGACATGCAGAGATGAGATGATTTGTGTTCTTGAATCTAATAGCTCTGATCATGTCTTTTATATAGCAGATGTCATTTCTAACTCTTTTATATGGACCCCAATGAGTATTTCTCGATTACCGTATTCATATATTTGTGTGAAATAAATAAGCCTGACATGAACTATGGGGAATCTATCTTCGTTTTCTGGTGATATCCACTAAAGAATCTCTTCACCCTACTGTTTCAGCTAAGCAATGTGTCAAGCAATTCATTAAAAACAAGTTATCCTCATTATATTTAACATAGTTGTATGTAAATATATTTAGGGTAAAATATGGTTATGTTGACTACTTAAAGCGTGGTTATTTCTGCATTAAGCTTTAATTATCATGCTCTAAATTAGATTTAAGTCTCAATGTAGATGCCATGATCATTAAATATGTCGATTACAGAGAACATTTTGGCGCTAAGACAGGCTTTCTTCTGAGATTTGCCAATTAATATGAGTCGTGATACTATTTTACAAGTAAATTCTTGGTGACAGAAGTGTGAAAGTATTGCATCTCCCCCTTTACCTATTATCATTTACAATTTAGCTCCTCTAATCACTATTACATACTCATTATAAGAATTAGAGTAGGGTTTCGAGACTACCAGTAAATCAGTGTAATGAGATGTATTCACCCTATTTCG